CAAGGACATACTTACAGAAATCTGAAAGTTTAAAATGTAAATCAGGGATTATTGTTGCACTCTGGATTTGATTTGTTGGGATGGAAGTGGTGATCGTAGTTTAGTTTGTTATTGTACTAATTTTTCAGAACAGTTTCCTAGTGTGCCAGGTGGTAGTTCTCCCAGAGTCCCCAAGACCCTTCCATTTGACTTTTCCATGTATGTATTGGCTTGTAAATGAATGTTCAGATATGTCATGTAAGTTCATTTGATTAACAAAAGCAAATATTGACTCTAATAAAGAAATGCTCATAGAGTGACATACTGAAGAAATTTGATTTCCTAACCTATTGGACCCTCCTTGGCTTGGGGAGGAGAGTCAAAGGTGTAGATTTTAAAAATGATTTTTGACTCTGAACTCTACTTAGAAATATCTCTGCCTCTTGATTCCTTCCAGAATTCTTCCCTTCCCCTCCGCCATTTCTCTAAGGCCACTCTTCATTACTACCTGGCAGTCAGTCGGTAGCTTCTGTTATTCTCTGTGGCTGCTAGTGCTCTTGGCCTACTACACCCTTGACCTTTGAGCAACTGGCCTTGACTGTTTTTCTCCTAGCATTCAGTGAGTGACTGGGTTGCTTTCATGGTGCTTCAGATTAGCCCTACAGATATGAAAAGGCAGTCTTTTTACCCTTAAAAGCTTGCTATTCTTCTAAAAGGATAAAAGTATTTCTTTGGGTTATCAGTTTTCTCTTAGGGAATTTGCAAAGAGCTTTCCAGGACCAGATGATAGCCCTGGAGTGGCATTGTCCATTGTTCTACTTGGAAGTTTTGCTTTGTGTTAAGGCATGCCATGGAGTTGAACTGAAACTCAGAGCCTCAGGGCCATTGACTTTCTCCTGAGTCTTGGTTCCCTGGATATTCCTGGAGAAGTTGGAGGTGCTTGTCCTTCTTGTGCAATACCTTTTTGCACAAGTGAGCAAATGTACAAACTTTGCAGGTAGAAAACTGAGTTAGAGGCTTGGCTCTGCTGCCTGCTACCTTTGTGACCTTAAGCAAGTTGCTTCTGTTTTCCCATATGTAAAGTGCCTGTAAAACTACCTCTTTCTTAATGTTGCTTCAACATTTAATGTGAGTATGGTATTCTCAGTATAGTGCTGGCACATAATAAAGTGTTTGTTAATTGTTGGCTACAGCTATTACATATATATATGCATGTTTTTTAAATCTCATTATTCTGATCACTTCCCATGCTTATCATCTGCACCAAATTTCTCTAATACCAGGCATGCATAGGTGAGATATAATAATGCTTTACTCTCTGGGGGCATCATTCTGAGAATTGTAACATCTTTTGTGTGATTCTGCTTCCCCTATCACCCCAGTGCTGGTACCACCATTTTTTCTTGTGAAAAAGTCACAATGAAAATATAATAAACAAATGAGTCTATATTGCAAGTTCACTTTGCATTTTAATTCAATTGAGTATCTGAGGTAGGACAATTTATTGTTTGTTGAAAGTTTAATTTTCAATTGTGAGAAATAATGGCCTTAGAAAATTTTGAAGGAAAATTAATTCTATAATTCTTTGTTGAATCCCAAGAACACCGAGGCATTGTTCTTACCCTCAAATGGATTAAAATCTGGACAAATGAGACAAATGCAGACAAGAAAGTCAAGATTGTTCATGGCACCCAAACATGAAGTGTACGTGTTAAGATAAATTAAGCAAAGGTTAATTTCTAGCTTGGTATAATTTTAAAGCAGGTGGGCCTTGGACTCAGTCCTTGAAAGATGTGTAGGATTGGATTTGGTGCAAATTCTCAGGAAGAGCTTTCTGAAAAAGTGGGAGCATGTTAATGGTAGGAATGCCTACTACAGATGAAGTGACAGGAAGCCTCTGACAGGTCATCCCTCTACTCCTGTCCCATAGCCAACTCTGCCTGTGTTTATCCCCCCAGCTCTCCCATCCCCCCGCCCTCCACCCAGTCTCCAAGTGTTTGCAGGGACACTGTTTGTCTTTTTTATGCAATATTACACTCTCTTTCCCCACCTCAGTTCTTCTGTAAAGCAACACACAGGTTCCCTATGCCTTCTCTAGCCTGTTGTTTCTGAAACATGCTCAAAAAACAGCTTTAAAAAAAAAAAAGGTTAGTATTGCAGAGGATTGTTAGTAGGAAGAACAAAAAGAATAACAAAAATGCTCTTAACTTGGCTGTGCCAGATTACTGTTTGAATTGGACACTCATGTGACTTGTATCTTTGAGACACAGTTGTGGGAGTCTTTTCTAGTTCTGGCCTCACCTCTCCAGCCCCTCTCTACAGCAAACCAAGAGACTTGGACTGAAGTTCTTTGGCTGGGCACCACTTCCCGCTATGCTATGATTCTCAGTTCTTTTTAGGGTTACCTTCCTGATCCTTTCTGGTGTTTTAGCTTCCCTTGTTGCCTCAGGTTGTACTGTTCTTCACCTGTGTTCTTCAGCTGGTCCCAATCCTCCTGGGGCCTAGAGTCTTAGCCCAGCTTGCCTGAGGGCCACCGTTGGCCTCTAAAGAGTCTTTCTTCTTCATATCATGAAACGCTGCCACAGCCACTGCTCCTTTTCTCCTTTGCAGGAAGGTCTCTTGGGCCTCATATTTTAAAGTACTCTTTGGTTCAGGACTTGATAGCATCGTGAGACCTTGTTAATGAAAGTCATCAACCCATTTGTTTTATTTTGTAAATATTTTTATAGCATTTTGAAAGTCTCAGGCACATTCTGAGTGCTTTAGAAAATTAATTCATTTAATCCAGAGGGAAATTGCCAACAATATGTAAATTCCCACTGATTTTAGCCCTCTAAATTTGATTTCTTATGCTTCAGACTTTTGCCCCCAGTAGATCCTTTCATTAATTTCTGTTTAATTTGGAGACATTTCTGATATTAGTCTTTTGAGAAAGTACTTTATGTTCTTAGTCTTTGCTCAGATTACTAGCTAGTCCCAGTTTCAGAATTTAATACCTAATATGCATAAAATGCACTGATTCCATTAAGAAAAAAAGGAACTTTCTTTTAATTAGATAAAGCTTTGTGAAACAGAAGCCTTTTTTAAAAATTATCTTAAGTGGAAAAAAAAAAACCAAAACTATAGGTCAACCAAACCTTCTAACCCATGTATTGAAATGTAACCAAATGCCTATAAATATAAGTTGCATATCGTTATAGTAGGATATAAATGGTTTAAAATTATCTTTCTGATCATCTGACAATTAATATGATTTTTAACACGGATTCTATGTATGTGCAGTGTGTACTTGTTGATACTGGCAATGTCTGGGCAGCATGTTACCTTTGTTGACATTCAGACATTTTCAAAATGTTAATCCACTGGCTTTAGTCGTCTAACAATATGATTTGAGACTTTTCTCAAACCCTATTTTGTTAAAAATGTATTAATTTGGGTAGGGAAATACATATTTTTGTTATATAAACACCCCATACCCCAAAGAAAAACTCATTGAGCTATATATATATACTCTGCGAAGTCTGGATATTAAAATATAAGAGATATTCATAAATCCAAAAGATGTATGACTGTGCTTATAATTGTTATAAAATTAAAACATAATTTAAAGGTTTAGGAAGATAAATTTTAAAAGCCAAATGAATGGATTTTACATTTCTCCATGACCTGGAATGATCTGTGATATTGTTCCTCAGAGCAGACAAGAATTACTAACAATTATGTGAGCTAAAGTAAAGGGATAGTTTGAATATATACATTCCCAAATATGATTTAAGTGATTCAACTTTATTTTCATTGAGTTTCTTTTTTTTTTTTTTTAATGTTCAAATTCTTATGATCCTGTGTTTTCTATCTTATCCTGATCTGTTAAGTTATAAATTTATTTGGGTTGAGGGGGAGAAACAGTTTAAAAGCACTTTTAAAAACATTGCCTTGCTTTTCCAACCTCCAATCACTTTTAATAGTCACCTGTTCTTGAGGATGTTTTTATTTTTTAAATGCGGTTGCTTCATACTGTAATTGATAGGTTATTCCAATAACTGGAACATTTGTGGATCTGTTTCTATTGATTCTTACTTTTGGTGGCTTGTTTTCTTATCTGTTTGGGGTGTGTATGGCTTTTTGTTTTAACCTTTTCCCTTGTGATCTCCTCAGTATCCTTAAAAATTATTCCTGGGGATTATTTGACCCCTAGATGAAATTGTCTTCTCCAGGGAGTTATGTTTTCTTCTGCCACAGACCTGTGGGAACTATTAGTCTGAGGCCATTCTGCACCAGAATCAGAGCATAGGGTCCTGGGGCCACTCAGGTTAGGGGATCCCAGCGAGCAAATCCAGGAGGGCTAGCTTGTGGACAGTTTTTCAGAAACAAGTTCTTTTCCTCTTCCCTTTTCCCTTCCCTACTCTTTTGCTTAATGGGCAAGGTGAACCTCCCTGCCGTTCCAAAGAACAGGGCAGGATTGCTTCTGGTTTACCTTCATACTGAGGAGCAGGGATCCCAGCTTGCTGGGACTTAGGTGTCTTGTTGTCCTACTTCTCTTTTTTGGTTTTCCCTGGTTATTTTTTACTACTGTGGGATTCTTGTTTTTAAGGAACCCCGCCCCCCAATAGAATCAATCCAAATGATCCAGCCCATTGTTAGGAGCATGGAAATCTTCCTTATTTGATCTGTAACTGTGAGGTTTGTGTGATGGATATACGATTGGGTTGCTTTAAGGGATGAGGGAACTAAGACTGAGAGAGGTGTCTTGATTTAGGATCATGATAAGTGGCAAAGCTTGGAAAGGACCTCCTGAGAACAAATCTGTTTTTCATTCCACTCCCAAAACTACCTTTGAGTTGTTTTCTTCTGTGTATTCTTATTCTTACAATTTTGAATGAAACAGGCCTATATTGAGAAGGTTTTTAAAAAATATGTAATACTTTTCCAAAATTGATAAGGATTATATTGGTGTAACTGTTTCCAGGTAGATATAGTATTTTAAGTGGAAATTAATAATTGCAATCTCTTTTATTTTTCAGCTGAAGTGAGTAGCGAATATAGTATGGACAAGGCGATGGTTGAATTTGCTATAATGGATCGAGACCTAAACCATTATGTTAAGGCTGTTCAATCTACAATAAATCATGTAAGTGTACGCCACTCACTTTGTTGTTTTTGATTATAGCTCCTGTGACCTAAAAATAGAAACACAAAATAAGAATTCTTTCCTAACCTTTAATATTTCCTTATCCTTATTGTATCAACTATTAATTTCCTCTTAACCAGGAAATCTCATAGAATAGGAATCTTACATTATTTTCCCAGCTAGGCCATGGAGGTTAATTAGCATATTAAATTCAACTTAGATTGTCTTGCATTTTTTTTTAATGTAAACCCTCTTTGAATGTGAGATTTTTAACTTTTAAAACGTTTTGTTAAAACAGCTTGTTTTTATTGCTATATTTGCTTAGACATATAATTTAGACCAGGTTTAGTTACTCATTAGCTGTAGCTAATATACCACCTATTGCAAAATTGTTATAATCAGATAATATGGAAAAGTTTTAGAGCAAGTGTAAAATAAAGAAGGTTGGCATTTCATTTTTTCCAGAAGCCAAACTTATCTTTGTTGACTCCAGCTGTCACAGGAACTGCACATAAGGCAGTTAAGGTGGGAACATAGCAACATCCTTTTTAGTACTACTGTGTTGAGTAAGAAATGAGCAATATGATTGCAGTAATGTTTCTGAGAAGCCCTTTGTCCTCTGAACCATGGAAACTCCCTGTTGAACTGATTTCATATACCTGTGTAATACGGTGTCTTGTACTTCCGTTTTTTTTTTTTTTTTATTTGCCTTTTCTTACTTATAACTATGGAAAAAACCCAGATATTTAACAAAATCAGCTACTGTTCAGTGCAAGATAAATGTTTCAACTTTGTTTACTACATATGTTGGTGGAAGTAAGCGTTATATGGTTATATGACATTTTTTTTTCCCTGAATGGCTAGTATTTATTCAATGTGATATTTAAGTAACTTTTATAATATCTGTTTATATCAAAGCAATAAACTCATTCAGCTTGTAGAATTCTAATGTTTCAGGTCACTGTGACTTTTAGTCCTGGTTCTCTGAATATTTCTCCCATAGAAAAATATAAAATGACATTCTGTCGACATCATCTTTGATGATGAATAACAAAGCACTAAGACTAGAGGTTTTTTAATTATAGCTAAGTTCTAGAATCAGCCAGTTCCCACTCTAAGATACCTGATTGCACAGGTCTGGAGCCGGATTGGGGCACTAGTATATTTTAGAAACTTCATTTTGTTTCCAAGGTTGAAAACCACCAACTTAAAAGAATATGGCAAGTTTGTAGAATAAATTTTGTTTGCTGCCAAAGAGTAGAGTTAAGTCTATTATATGGCTCAATCTTGGTTTGATTTAAAAAAAAAAAGAGACTTGGGAGTCAAAGAACTTAATGTCAATTTTTTCTCTACTAACCTTTAAGATTCACTGATAGTGAAGGTAGTTTTGCAAGAAGAATTGAACTCTTCCCCTATCAAGTAACTGAGTCACTCATAAAAGAAAAGTTAGACTCAAAAAATCCCCCACCCTCACCCACATTCAGCATTTCTTTCATTTTGAGGTTTCATCCTATTACTCTTACCTTCCTCAACAGGGAAGACTGTACTTTTGAGTTTTATCCTACTTTTTAGCCCTTATTTCATTCTAGCCTGTGGAGGAATGGATTTAAAGATTCTAATGCTTCTCAGAAGGTCCCTTGTCTTTCATAAGAGGAGAAAACATGTTTCATTTCCTTTCCTGTTACCAAATCCTATCTATAAGAGCTCAATACAAGACCCAGAGTAGTAAAGCATCATTTTATGAGGTCTCTAAGACCCGAAACCATTAAGGACTCAGTAGGAATGTAACCACTATTTTGATGGATTTATTTGATATGACTCTCCATATTCTAAGTTATGGCTATTCCTATCTTCTTTTCATGGGGTATCAAGAATGAATAGCAGCTTAAGATGGACCCAGGGTGGTATCTTTCTTTAGAAAGAGCAGTGGTGTAGGAATCAGAAACACTTCAAGCCTTAGTTCTTCTACTTTCTAAGTTAGGAGCCTTGCTCACGAAACTTAATTTCTTGGAACCTCATGTTCTTCATCTATAAAATCCTTGGCCTCCCTATTTCACAAGATTATTATGTGAATCAGATTAGATAATGTCTATCAAACTACTTTGGCATTGATAAAATTTGATGGAGCTATTAGATATTATGTTATTGCAAACACAGATTTCCAAACAGAATTCCTTGGAAAGGTAGAACAAACTCTTTCTAAAAACAGATGCTTTGTTTTGCTCACTTTATTTCATGGTGCTTTTCTTGGCTTTGATATGTTATATGGACTTTAGGAATCTAAGCTCTTAAAGTCACAGTAGAAGGTGTTTGTGGTCTCTAGAATGAAGAATGGTTTTAAAGTCCAGCAATGAAGAAAGAAAGCAGATAATGGGAGTCCACATGAGTCCCATTTAACCTTCTGCTCTTTCAGACTTGGGAACTATAGTACTTCCATTATAGTAGCATTTGACCAAATTCTGATCCAACTTCTTTTTTAATTATCAGTGTTTGTTTTATTGTTTATGCAAGCATTTTTCTTCTACTGTCACAACCAAGTTTTGAAGATTGTGCGTCTCCTAACAGGTTTTGGAAGCTGACTTTGGAACCTTAGAAATATGGATTAACTTACCACCAAGTCCCTGAGAAGTCCCTTTGGCAGTTAGCAGAGGATCCCAGGTTGCCTTCCTTTTTTTTTTTTTTTTTGAGAAAATAGAGCTACCATATACTATACTGCCTGTGAGTTTAATTTGAAATTGGTATTTATTTCAGTGCTTTGAAATTTTAAAAATGAAAAAATATTCAGACTGGTTTCCAGCTGACCTGTTTGTAAAGGGAATATTATACAATGAGCACTAAAACAAAATCCCCAAATAGCCTCTAAAGACATTTATAAAAACTGGATATATTGGTTATCTAGCTGTCAGACCTCTAAAAACCAAATCAGAGACAGTTCTATATGAACTGTTTGGAGACTTTTCAGTTGTAAGACCAAACAGGTAATGAAAGTGTTTTGAAAGCTAGAAATGGTACACAGATATTATAATACATCTCTTCTTCCTCTTCCTCCTCTTCCTCCTACTTGTTGTTTTGTAGTACTGGTAAATGAACCCGGGGCATTTTACCACTGAGCTACATCCCCAACCCTTTTTCTTTTTTATTTTGAGACAAAGTCTTGCTAAATTGCTGAAGTTGGCTTTGAACTAGCAATCCTCCTGCTTCAGCCCCCCCCCGCCCCCCCAGTAGCTAGGATTACAGGCGTTTCCCACTGCTCCTGGACACTACTACTTCTGTCACTTACTGTAGGGAAAAATTTTTCTTAGCTTTTTGTTGAGAGTGGTGATTTTCTTGACATTAGACTTCTGACAGTGTGATGTTCATTGCCTAGCTTTCCAAGCTTCAACTGTTTGAGTACATTGAAGGAACATTATTGGCTGGCTTTTTGTTCCCAAATGTTTATTGAATAAATATTTACTAGATACTTATGTGCCAAGCACTACTAGGTGCAGGAAGTAAGTCATTAGCAAGACCCATATAACCTTCACCTTCAGGATGTCCAAAGCCTAGAATAGGAGCCAAACATTTAACAAAGAGCAATACAGATGTTATATAAGTACCGTTGTTGTATGTTCTACAAGGAGAAAATAAGGCATTCAGGGACAGTTAATAACTTAAGGGTGTGATATCTCTTGGAGTGGTTGGGAGGCACCTTCCTGGGGAAGTGATAGTTAGGATGAACATGAAATGAGCCTCAACGTGGGTGTAACTTCTTTATGTGACGTTTGCAGGAAATGGAAGCACCTTATTTCTGATTGTCTTGATGTCTGAGTTTCAGAGTGCCTTGACCAACCCAAAGACTGAATTTGAGAAAATTAGGGCAGGGAAGGCCTACTTTTATATACAGAAAGTTAAAGTATTAAATAGAGTAGTTGAGTAACCTACCTAATGTTGGTCAATGATTCATTCATTAACAGATTTTTAAGTGCTTACTACTACGTGCCAGGTGCTGTAGCTGTTGGTACGAATCATGGCATTGGTGGGTTTAAGAATAATTTCATTACTGGTATTCCTCTTCTCAAGCAGGGATTATTCTTTCTGAAATGAGATATTTTAGTAAGTATTGAGTATATCCATCAGTAGTCCTAATTGTTTCTGATTTTTTTGTCTATGAATGTTTGCAACTAAACCTGTAGATTATCATGTGGCCTTCAGATTCCTGAGGGTAGGCATGGAGGATGGGTGCCAGTTTAGTTCAAGAAATCCTCAGATCTGTCTTATTTTTTAAAATAAGAAATGCTTAAAAAGAAAAAAAAAAAAGTCCAATAACTGTTACAGAGGTAGTCCTTGCAGTTTTCTATAATCTTAATTATGATAGTAAAAAAGGATTGGAACCATGAAGTTAAATGAGAAATGGCCTAATGGGTTCAGATTAGTGTCACAAATTATTACCAATGATAAGATGTACATCCTCTTGTATTTTTAATGTGATATAGTTCAAGGGTTTATAAAAAAAATAAAGCTTGATATTCACATTATGCCATGGCACATTTTTTTCATGATCCTTAATTTAAAATTTTTAAATCAAACAAATTTTAAACTTAAATGACTTTACCTATGCATTGTTCTTTTAGCATGTGCTGCTCCAGCCTGTTATTGGAAAGCCTAGGGCATATATGTTTTTTTCACCCTCCTCAAAACCCTCTTCTCTGCTTCTTGTATCTTATCGATTATGTAAGATTTTAGAGCATTTAAATCAGATTGCAGACACATAGTTGTTTTTGTTTTTTAAGTCAGTGTCTTTATAACAGTTTTTCCAAGAAGCCTGGTGAGAGAGAATGCTGGGAGCCATCAAGAAAAACATACTTTGCCTAGCTGGGTATGGTGGCACATACCTATAATCCCAAGGACTAGGGAAGCTGAAGCAGGAGGATTGCGAATTCAAGACTAGCCTGAGCAACTTAAAGAGACCCTGGTTTAAAATTTAAAAAATTAAAAAAGGGCTGGGGATTTAACTCAGTGGT